CACGCTGAGGAGCAGTAGAGGGACGCAGAGTCATATAGTGAGTGCCTGGGACAGGAGGAGGACGCTCACGACGGACACGACTACCAGTGCGAGCAGGACGAACAGGCGACGCAGGACGAGACTCAGGCTCACAACGCTCTGTAAGACCTCCTGTGGGACCAGCGTAAGGAGAGGGAGCAGGGAGAGGCGAAGTAGGCGGTAACTGTGACTGCGGCTGGACAGGCAGAGGACACTCTACGGAGGGAGGAGGACAAGGAGGAGGAGCCTGCCCAAGAACCTGCTGAAGGAGCGGTACGAAGTACGGTCGTGGCCGCGCAGCGTCTCCAGAAGCAGAGGAGACTCCAGCGGCCGGGTCCACAGCACCAGCAGCAGCTCCACCGGCCGGGTCCTCAGCACCAGTAGTAGCTCCAACGCCCGGGTCCTCAGCAGCAGCAGCAGCGCCACCGCTCGGGTCCTCAGGTCCAGCAGCAGCTCCACCGTCCGAGTCCTCAGTACCAGCAGCAGCGCCACCGCCCGGGTCCTCAGCTCCAGCAGCAGCTCCAACGCCCGAGTCCTCAGCACCAGCAGCAGCTCCACCAGGCGGGTCCGCAGCACCAGCAGCAGCTCCCACGTCCGGGTCCTCAGCACCAGCAGCAGCGCCACCCCCAGGGTCCGCAGCACCAGGAGCACCACTCCGAAGACTGCAGCGCCGTGTGTACCACTCGCGGATCTGCTGAATGGGGGGGAGCTCCTGGGTAGGAGGGGAAGCACCGGGACGAGCTCCAGCAGCACCTCTTCGGAGGCGGCAGTACTCGAGGTACCTCTCCTGCAGTTTCTGGGAGGAGAGGGCTCCTCCAGGTGTAGCACGCTCAGGCTCAGCACCCCCAGACGCAGCACCCCCAGACCCAGCACCCCCAGGCTCAGCACCTCCAGGCTCCGCACCTCCAGGCTCCGCACCTCCAGGCTCCGCACCTCCTGGCTCAGCACCTCCAGGCTCCGCACCCCCAGACTCAGCACTCCCAGGCTCAGCACCCCCAGACGCAGCACCCCCAGGCTCAGCACCCCCAGACGCAGCACCCCCAGGCTCAGCACCCCGAGCAGGACGAGAGTCAACAGCTACCTCGACAGGCTCACCCGGGTCTACCTGGGACACACCTGAGGGAGCGGCACCCTGAGGGGGGAGGGGGTCTGGTACCTCAGCACCTGGAGCGAGGAAGAGAGGCGGGGGGGGGAGCGGGGCAGTGCGGTAGGGGAAGAGGCGGTAGTAGGGGACGGACTCGTCAAAAGTGACGTCCTGAGAGGCCAGGACACGCCGCGAGGTGGGGTGGTAGAACTGCCAACCAGGGGCGTCCGGGACAAAGCCAAGGAAGACGCAGGGGACAGCGCGACGGGAGAGCTTGTCCGCGGACGTGTCGCGGACAAAAGCTCGGGATCCCCAGACCCGAAAACGCGACGCATCGCCAGCCTCTCCCGTCCAACGCAGTGTCGGAGAAGTCTCGGGCAAGGAGACACGGGGCCAGAGGTTGAGCTGATGCGCAGCGTATCGGACTGCAAACGGCCACAGAAAATGGGGGGCAGCCGCATGGCTCAAGGAGGTACGAGCGACCTCCATGACCAGACCAATGCGGCGCTCAGCAACCCCATTCTGCTGTGGAGAGTCCGGAAGCGTGTACGACTGCTCAATGCCCTCCTGCTGACAGAAGGCCTCCAATAGGCCAGAGGAGAACTCCCCACCTCTGTCAGAGTGCAGACGCAGGACAGGGAAGTCGGAGCGGAAACGCTCACGGAGCTGGAGACGAGATCTGCGGATCCAAGGGATCAAGACATCAGGGACGTCACCCTTGGCGCGCAAGGGGAAGACCGTGGTGTAGCGCGAGAAGTCGTCAACAACAATCAGGAAGTACCTCTCCTGACCCTGACCACGGACGCGGGCTGGGCCCCACACGTCCATGTGGAGCGTCTGCAAGGGAGCAGTCGTCGGGGGAAAGGAGGAGGAGTGAGGAGCGGCGCGCTGCCGTCCCTCGACACAGGGAATACAGGGAGGAGCAGGCGAGTCGGGAAGGGGAGGGAGCACCCTGGGAAGACCAGCAACAAGGTCCCGTTTGTGCATGGCTGGAAGGCGCTGCACAGAGGGGTGACCAAGGCGGTGGTGCCAAAGGACAGTCTCATGCGCCAGAGAGCGACACGAGCAGGGGGCGGACAGCTGACCTGACGCAGACCCAGACGTAGACGCAGACGCAGCTACCTGAGGAGACTCAGTGGTCAGTGTGTACAGGTCCGACCCCGGCTCCCGAGTGAAGGTAGCCAGGTGGCGACCCGTCCGAGCACACGTGCAGTGTGTCACGCGCTCGTAGGCGGGGGTGAACTGGTGAACACCCCCGTCCTGGAGCGCACTACCTGCCACCAAGTTCGTAGAGAACGAGGGGAGGTAGAGACCTGACAGCGTGCCGGACGGGACCGCCGGACAAGGAAGGACAGTGGAGGAGGTCGCAATGACCGGACCCCCAGAGGGGTCAGCAAGGGAGACAGCAACTGGCCGAGCGAGTGGCTCAAGGACAGTGCGGTCACGAAAGAAGGAGCGAGAAGCACCTGAGTCTAGTGTGAAGGTGTGCAGTGCTGCAGTCGACTCAGTACCAGGGGACACGGACGCACGAGCACCTAGGGCTGCAGCCTCACCAGGACCTGTGGGAGCAGACGCACTAGCACCTAGAGCGGCAGTCGGACTGGCCTGAATGCCCGGGTCGGGCGGAACACGCAAGTACTGGGCACCCTCTCCACTAATAGACATCGCATACATGGCAGTGAGAATAGCATCAAAGTCTAAAGCCCAAATATCAACACCCCTCTTTTCCAGATCAGCCCAGCGCGGCAGCTCAGTGGCAGCAGGAAACTGAGTGCGCCACGCGTCGTTAAGGCGCGCGAAGCAGCGCTGCGTGGGGTGCGGCCTCCCACACTGCTGGCCGCTGCGGTCACCTGTGCGAATGACGTACGTGCAGGTAACGCTACGCTGCGCATACCACTCACGGGCGGCCTGAAGCGTCGGGGCGGGCTGCTGACTCTGCCCTCCGCCAGTGCCTCCACGACCACCACCCCCACTGCTGTCGCCCCGGCCACCTCCACCCCTGCCGCCGCCACGACCACCTCCGCCTCCGCTGCCGCCTCCACCACCACTCCCACCGCTGCTGTCTCCTCCCCCACTGCCGCCACTAGTCTCCCCAGCCGCGCCTCCACTCCCACCGCCTCCACCCCCACCTCCTCCGCCACCACCCCCACCCCTGCCCCCCTTGTTCCTGCGGCGCCCGCTCGAAGCAGACGCGGTCCCGACCTTCTCAGCACCAAGAAGGTCGACAGCAGCAGCAGAGGCGACAGAGGGGAGGAGGGGGGAAGGGGAACACCCCTCAAAGAACGGGGTGCGTGTGTCGCCACGAGAGGTGCCTACAGCGACGATGCTCGCCTCAGCTGCAAGCAGTTCCTTCTCGAGGAGGGCAACAGTGAGCTCAGTGGGGGAGCGAGAGAGGAAGTGGTCCCTGACTGCGCGCAGAGAGTCAGGGAGGCGGGTGACGATGTGGTAGAGAGTGATCCAGAGCGGGGGGGGTTGCTAGTGAGAAACTCGGCAGGCATAGCAGCGCGAAAGCGGGCCTCACTAGTCTTAAGGTGGGTGATGAGGTCTGCGACAGTGTGAAAGGAGGCTAGGTCGGGGAACAGGTAGGGGAGAGTGAGGCGGCCTAGCGTGGCAGAAGCGGGCGAGGAGTAGCGGGCAACTACAGCGGTGTAGAGGTCCTTAGCAGTCTTGCACTGGCCGAAGTGCTCGCGCTCGTCTAGCGGCAGGGAGTTGCGAATAGCAAAGCGAGCGTGCGCATCACGGGTCTGCCACTGGGAACGCAGAGTGCTGTCAGCAGACGAGTCAGGGGCAGTGGCATGGCCTAGGGCGTGGTCGTACAGTGAGATATCTTCCTTGGCAGTGAGCTGTAGGAACAGGTGCAGGTCATCTAGCCAGGTTTCGAACTTCACTGGACGGCCCTCGGCATCGAAAGCTAGAACGGGAGGACTAGCCATAGCGGCAGGAGCAGTAGCAGTAGTAGGAACAGTAGTAGTAGCAGTTGGAGCAGTGTAAACGGGGCTGCTCAGTACGGGCGGCACGGCTCGGTCGGGCGGTGCGGCTCAGTTGAGGCTGCGCGGCGGCGCGGGACCGCTAAGCGAGGCGGTACGGGGCCGCAGGGGGCCTTTAAGTGGGGCGCGAGCGGTGCGCGGGCAGTGCGCGGGCGGTGCGCAGGCGGTGCGTAGGCTGCGCGGCTTAGCGCGGGCTGTGCGGGGCGTTGCGCGGGCTCAGTGCGGGCTGCGTAAGCGGTGCACGGGGCGGCAGCGGGCCTGAAGGGGCGATCGCGGGGCCGACTAGGTCGCTAAGGGGCGAGCGGCGGGCCGGTAGGTTCGATCGCGGGGCCGACGGGGCCGTAAGGGGCGGTGCGCGGGGCCGTAAGGGGCGGTGCGCGGGGCCGTAAGGGGCGGTGCGCGGGGCCGTAAAGGGGCGAGCGCGGGGCCGTAGCGAGGCCTTAAGGGGCGGCGCGGCGGGGCCGTAAGGGGCGAACGCGGGGCCGACGGGGCTTAAGGGGCGGCGCGACGGGGCCTTAAGGGGCGGGTCGCGGGTCGCTAGTGCTTAGGGGCCGAAAAAAAAAGTCGAGGCGCCCTAGGTAGGTAGGTAGGTAGGGAGTTAGGTAGCGGTGGGCCCTTAAAAAAACGGTCCTAGCGAAGGACCTGCTCTGAAACCATGTCAAAACAACAGACTGGAATCGCTGTGCTAACAGAAGGATGGATACAAATAGGAAACCCTAATCCAGCATACCCCCTAAGGTATCACCCACTACTGCCTACAATCATATAAACATATAATGTTTGACAGCAGCAGCAAAGGGAGTTTATACGTTACACTTTACTAAGAGAGCTGCTACTACAGGAGACACATGACGGGGTTACTTCAGGCCATTTCGGAGTAGAAAATATATGCAGTAGTTGCAGCGGTATTATTACTGGCCCGAGATGTTGACCAACATACAAAGACAAGTGGCATCACGTCCCACCTGCCAATTCATGAAATCATCACGGAAGAAGCTGGAAGGGCAGTTGCAGCCGATGCCACCCCCAGAGCGTGCTTGGCGGTAGGTGATGGTGGACTTCGTCACGGGGTTACCAGCCGGAGCAAGTGGGAAGGACACGATCATGTTCGTCGTCGATAGGCTGACAAAGATGGCACATTTTGCAGCCGGCAAGAAATTGAGAGCCGCAAGTGTCGTCCTCAGTGTGTCGTGCCACTCACGTGGTGCCTGACGGAGACCGTAGACCGGCCGCCGGAGGCTCCACTGGGTACCAGGAGGAAACGACCCAGTGAAGCCAGGAGGGCGACGCAGCCAGATCTCCTCGTGCAGGCTGCCCTGCAAGAAAGCTGTGCTGAAGTCAAGAGAGTGAAGCTCGTAGTCGCGCTGAGCGGCTATGTGCAGCAGCATCCGAAGAGTGGTCATCTTCGGGGTAGGGGAGAAGGTCTGGAAGAAGTCTACTCCCTCTCGCTGACTGAAGCCTCGAGCAACGTAACGCGCCTTGAAGACAGGCGGAGAACCCAGCGGCCGCTTCACCCTGAAAATCCACATACCACTGACGATGTTCGCCCCAGGCGGGGGAACCTCGTCGACGTAGGTGCCTGTGGACTTCCAGGAAGCCATCTCTGCATCCATGGCTGTCTGCCACTGAGAGGAGTAGGGACCCTCTATCGCCTCTGCGTAAGAGCGCGGGGTCGGGATGTCTGGTGCATCCGGGTCTCCCTCAGGGGCAACTAGCATGGACACGAGATGAGGCAAAGCAGCAGCAAAGCACTGGAACTCCTCCTGCCTGTCCTCAAGGACGTCCGTGCCAAGAGCACACTCACCCCCGACGGACGGAGGACAGACAGACTCAGACTCAGCAACAAGGCTAGCAGCGTAGTCTAGACGACAAGCGGCAGCAAAGTCAACTAACTCAGCAACGAGAGCAGACGCAGCAGAGGACTCAAAGGTAGGGTCAGTGACAACAGTAGCGAGGAGACGCGTGACAGTAGGACGGGCAGCACGAAGGGAGTCAGACTCCGGGTCAGCGAGAGTAGGAAGAGAGGACGCAGGAGGAGACGGCAGAGGGACACGCTGAGGAGCAGTGGAGGGACGGAGCGCCATCTGGTGAGTGCCGAGGACAGCAGGAGGACGCTGACGCGGGACACGACGACCAGTGCGAGCAGCACGAACAGGTGACGCAGAGCGAGACGCAGGCGACACAGGACGAGACTCTAGCTCACGACGCTCCGTAAGACCTCCAGTAGGACCAGTGTAAGGAGAAGGACCAGGGAGCGGCGAGGCAGGCGGTAACTGTGACTGCGACGGGACAGGTGGAGGACACACTAAGGAGGGAGCATGATAAGGAGGAGGAGGCTGACCAAGAACCTGCTGAAGGAGCGGAACGAAGTACGGCCGGGGCCGCGCAGCGTCTCCAGAACCAGTAGAGACACCACCAGCACCCGCAGCGGGTCCAGCAGCGCCAGCTCCAGGGTCCTCAGCACCAGAAGGAGCCCCAACGCCAGGGTCCGCAGCACCAGCAGCAGCTCCAACTCCAGGGTCGGCAGCACCAGCAGCAGCTCCAACTCCAGGGTCGGCAGGACCAGCAGCAGCTCCAACTCCAGGGTCCGCAGCACCAGCAGCAGCTCCAACTCCAGGGTCGGCAGGACCAGCAGTAGCTCCAACTACCGGGTCGGCAGGACCAGCAGCAGCTCCAACTCCAGGGTCCGCAGCACCAGCAGCAGCTCCAACTCCAGGGTCCGCAGCACCAGCAGCAGCTCCAACTCCAGGGTCCGCAGCAGCAGCTGCAGCTCCAACTCCAGGGTCCGCAGCACCAGCAGCAGCTCCAACGCCAGAGTCCCAAGCACCAGCAGCTCCACTCCGGAGAGTGCAGCGCCGACCATACCACTCTCGGAGCTGCTGGAGAGAGGGGAGCTCCCGCCTAGGTGTCCGAAGGCGGCAGTACCGCGAGTACCACTCAAGCAGCTGCTCTGAAGAGGGAGGGTCTCCAGGCGCCGCACAGTCAGATGTAGCCCCCCCAGGCTCGACACACATCCCCAGACTCCGCACCCCCAGGCTCAGCACCCCCAGGCGCAGCACCCCCAGGCTCCGCACACTCAGGCTCAGCACCCCCAGGCTCCGCACCCCCAGGCTCCTCACACTCAGGCTCAGCACCCTCACGCTCAGCACCCCCAGGCTCCTCACACTCAGGCTCAGCACCCTCACGCTCAGCACCCGCAGGCTCAGTACCCCAAGCAGGACGAGAGTCGACAGCTACCTCGACAGGCTCAACCGGGTCTACCTGGGACACACCTGAGGGAGCGGCACCCTGAGGGGGGAGGGGGTCTAGCACAGCAGCACCTGGAGCGAGGAAGAGAGGCGGGGGGGGGAGCGGGGCAGTGCGGTAGGGGAAGAGGCGGTAGTAGGGGACGGACTCGTCGAAGGTGACGTCCTGAGAAGGCAGGACACGGCGCGAGGTGGGGTGGTAAAACTGCCAACCAGGCGCGTCCAGGACAAAGCCAAGGAAGACACAAGGAACAGTGCGGGAGGAGAGCTTGTCCGCGGACGCATCGCGAACAAAGGCTCGAGATCCCCAGACCCGAAAACGTGACGCATCACCAACCTTGCCCGTCCAACGCAGCGTCGGGGAAGTCTCCGGAGCGGAGACACGGGGCCAGAGGTTGAGCTGATGCGCAGCGTATCGGACCGCAAACGGCCACAGAAAGTGGGGGGCAGCCGCATGGACCAAGGAGGTACGAGCGATCTCCATGACCAAGCCAATGCGGCGCTCAGCAACCCCATTCTGCTGTGGAGAGGCCGGAAGCGTGAACGACTGCTCAATGCCCTCCTGCTGACAGAAGGCCTCCAAGAGGCCAGAGGTAAACTCCCCACCTCTGTCAGAGTGCAGACGGAGGACAGGAAGGTCGGAGTGGAACCTCTTGCTCGCGGAGCTGGAGACGAACAGTGCGGATCCAAGGGATCAAAACATCAGGGACCTCACCCTTGGTGCGCAAGGGGAAGACCGTGGTGTAGCGCGAGAAGTCGTCAACAACAATCAAGAAGTACCTCTCGTGACCCAGTCCACGAACGCGGGCTGGGCCCCACACGTCCATGTGGAGCGTCTGCAGGGGAGCAGTCGTCGGGGGAAAGGAGGAGGAGTGAGGAGCGGCGCGCTGCCGCCCCTCGACACAGGGAAGACAGGGAGGAGCAAGCGAGGGTGGGAGGGGAGGGAGCACCCTGGGAAGACCAGAGACAAGGTACCGGGAGTGCATGCCCCGAAGGCGCTGCACGGACGGGTGACCAAGGCGGTGATGCCAGAGGACAGTCCGGTGCGACAGGGAGCGACACGAGCAGGGGGCCGACAGCTGACCTGACGCAGACGCGGACGCAGACGCAGCTACCTGAGGGGGCTCAGTGGTCAGTGTGTACAGGTCCGACCCCGGCTGCCGAGTGAAGGTAGCCAAGTGGCGACCCGTCCTAGCACACGTGCAGTGTGTCACGCGTTCGTAGGCAGGGGTGAACTGGTGAACACCCCCATCCTGAAGCGCACTGCCTGCCACCAAGTTCGTAGAGAACGAGGGGAGGTAGAGACCTGACAGTGTGCCAGACGGGACCGCAGGACACGGGAGGACAGTGGAGGAGGTCGCAAGGACCGGACCCCCAGAGGGGTCAGCGAGGGAGACTGCAACCGGCCGAGCAAGCTGCTCAAGGTCAGTGCGGTCACGAAAGAAAACAGCGAGAAGCGCCTGAGCCCAGGGTGAAGGTGTGCAGTGCCGCAGTAGACTCAGTACCAGGGGGCACAGACGCACGAGCACCTAGGGCAGCAGCCTCACCAGCACCTGGGGCAGCAGAGACGTTAGCACCTGGAGCGGCAGCCTCAACAGCACCTGGGGCAACAGACGCACTAGCACCTAGGGCGGCAGCCTCACTGGTCCAAATGCCCGGATCGGGCGGAACATGCAGGTACTGGGCACTCTTTCCACTAGTAGACATCACATACATGGCACCAAGAATAACATCAAAGTCAAGAGCATAGACATCAATGTTCTTCCTCAGCAGATCAGCCCAGAGGGGCAGCTCAGTGGCACCAGGAAACTGAGCGCGCCAAGCATCGTCAAGGCGGGAGAAGCAGTGCTGCGTGGTGTGCGCCCTCCCACACGTCTGACCAGCGCGGTCACCTGTGCGGATGACGTACGAGCAGCTAAGGCCACCCCCCCCCCCCCATGCTGAAGGTACCACTCACTAAGCTCCTGGGGCGAGAGAGTCTGCTGCTGGCGCGGACCACCACCTCGACCACCACCTCGACCACCACCACCCCTGCCGCCACCGCGTCCACTGCCTCCACTACCACCGCCCCCACCCCGGCCACCTCCTCCGCTGTTGCCGCCGCCACCCCCGCCACCGCCACCACCCCCACTGCTGCCACTAGCCCCTCCAGCCCCTCCACCACCCCCACCGCCGCCACCCCCCCCACCACCGCCTCCCCCGCTGTCATCACCACCTCCCTTGCCCCCTTTGCCTTTGCCGCTGCGACGCCCACTCGGAGTGGACGCTGTCCCGACCTGCTCAGTCCCAAGGAGGTCGACAGTAGCAGCAGAGGCGACAGAGGGGAGAAGGGGGGAAGGGGAACACCCCTCAAAGAAAGGGGTGCGGGGGTCGCCACGAGAGGTACCTACAGCGACTATGCTAGTCTCAGCTGCAAGCAGTTCCTTCTCGAGCAGATCAATGGTGAGCTCAGTGGGGCAGCGAGCGAGGAAGTGGTCCCTAACCGCACGAAGAGAGTCAGGGAGACGGGTGACGATGTGGTAGAGAGTCAACCACAGCGGGGGGGGGTTCTTGGCAAGAAACTCAGCGGGCATAGCGGCACGAAAGCGGGCCTCACTAGTGCGGAGGTGCGTGATGAGGTCAGCGACTGTGGAGAAGGCGGACAGGTCGGGGAACAGGTAGGGAAGCGAGAGACGACCTAGCGCAGCAGAGGCAGGTGAGGAGTAGCGCGCAACTACAGCTTTGTACAGTGCCTGTGCAGTCTTGTGCTGGCCAAAGTGCTCGCGCTCATCTAACGGCAGGGAGGCGCGAATAGCGAAGCGAGCGTGGGCGTCACGAGTCTGCCACTGTGAGCGGGCAGTGCTGTCACCATCAGCAGCAGGGGTAGCAGCGTGGCCTAGTGCGTGATCGTACAGTGAAATATCCTCCTTGGCAGTGAGCTGGAGATACAGGTGCAGGTCATCGAGCCAGGTGTCAAATTTCAGCGGGCGGCCCTCAGAATCGAAAGCGAGCACGGTAGGGCTAGCCATGGCCGCAGGAGGAGCAGGAGTGGCAGCGGTAGCAGTGACAGCAGCAGCAGGAGCGCAGTGCGGAGGGCGGCGCGGTTCTAGCAGGGCGGCGTGACTCGACAGGGGCGGCGCGGCTCGGCTGGATCAAGGCGCTAGCGGGGCTGCAAGGGCAGGGCTGCGCGGAGGGAGGCACGCGAGGGCGTGCAGGGTGGGGCGGGGCCTGGTCTCACGGGGCGCGCAAGGGCGGGCTAGTGGGGCGGGGCCGGGACTCGAGGGGCATGCGAGGGCGTGCAGAGCGGGGCGGGGCCTGGTCGCGCGGGGCACGCAAGGGCGAGCTAGCGGGGCGGGGCCTGTTCTCGAGAGGCACGTAAGGGCGCGCGGGTGGGGCAGGGCCGGTCGCACGAGGCACGCAAGGGCGCGCGGGTGGGGCGGGGCTGGTCGCACGAGGCACGCAAGGGCGCGCGGGTGGGGCGGGGCCGGTCGCACGAGGCACGCAAGGGCGCGCGGGTGGGGCGGGGCCGGTCGCACGAGGCACGCAAGGGCGCGCGGGTGGGGCGAGGCCGGTCGCTAGGGGCACGCAAGGGCGCGCAGGTGGGGCGGGGCCGGTTCGTAAGGGGCGCGCAAGGGCGCGCGGGGCAGCGGGTCGCGTAAGGGCACGCTACGAGGAGGGCGGGGCCGATCGCGAGGTGCACGCTAGGGCGTGTGGGCTGAGCGGGGCCGGTTCGTAAGGGGCACGCTAGGGCGCGCTACGGGGCAGAAACAAGGTGCGCTCGTTGGCGCGACTAAGCGAGGCGCGCTCGGGCGCGACTAACGGATTAGGTGGGCCCTATCATCGGTCCTAGGTCACGACCTAGGCTCGTAATACCATGTTAGAAACTTAGAACGAACGAGAGTGCTGGAACTAGGCAGGAGAGGGATACAAGTAGGAAACCCTAGCAATGTTGTACCCCCTAAGACTAAACCCACTATAGCCTACACACTATAAACATATATAATGGTTGACACTGAGTACCTGCGCAGCCACATTTTCTGGGATGTACACGCGCTTTTGTAAGGAGCACCTCCTTAAAGAGGGGGGGAGGGGGGGGGGGGGGAGTGTAAGGAAAATTCCTTTTCCTTACTCCGCGTCCCTGCTCAGCGTGCACACCATTCTTTCGCCAACAGTTCTCAACAGTGCCCCGTTACCACTCGCGACCCTCGCCTCGACTACTGTTCCCACCACTGTTCACGACGCGACCTAATGTTACGGTTCGGTTGGTAACCTGCGCTCTAAACCTCCGCCTCGACAATTCCCAACCTCGGCGCTAGGCCCGTAGCGCACCCCAATTTCACGCATTACCGTTACTTTGCTAGCTTCGCTATTTATCTTTCGCTCATGCCCTCGCTCAATGTACTATTTGCTTCGATAGTGCAATTCTCGCTCGCTCACTCAATTGCACACGTAACAATGACGGAGATGTGACTCAATGAATTGACAATACAATGAAGGCACGCGCTAATATAGTGACTACCCTAGCTAGAAGGGAACCTCAGGAAAGCAAGGTAGGGTGCAGGTTTGGCGATCGAGAAAGCCAAAGGCGACGTGAGGTGCCTTGGCATCGTGGATGTCGGTCAAACGTGCACACTCCAAAAATTGGGGTTGTACGTGTAGCAGTCAAGCCCGCGGCGAGGTAAGCACCAATGTGCGAGGACGCTTCAAGCGAGGCGGATGGCACCCAAGTGTTGTCATCATTGGTGCGGCCAGTCCAACAAATGAGAAAATCCACGTGGTGACCAGAGGCGTCGAGCCGAACACGATGCGCCAAAATCTTGGACGGGTCGAGTGTCGGTTCTAAGACAGGTCGTGTTGTCGATGCAGCATTCCGTCACGCGATGTCTGATGTGGCAGGCACGAACTTGCGAAGTAAGCTGATGTGGAAGGCATCATGTATGCGCTAGTCGTCGGGTAGCAGCAGTTTCGCGATAACAGGTGTCACCGTCTGAAGGATCTTGAAGGGGCCATAATAATCGTGGCCGTAATTGTGACGAGCTGGGTAGGCGAAGGTTCTTCGTGTCAAGCAGCACTAGTTTCCCAACTGTCAAGATCTTTTCCCGTTGCAGAAGATTCGCGCATTTGCGGGAAGTGGTATTCGCCTTGCGAATTGCGTCCGCGCCCTTTTCACGAATTTCCTGGAGTTTTGTCACAAATGTTTGTGACCGCGGGACCGGGTTGTCGAGTGTAGTCGTTTTAGGCACCACCGGGTCCATCCTGTAATTCAAGAAGACTGAGGAGTGATTCGTCGTGTTGAACGGAGCATTGTTGAGCATGAACTCCAACATGGCGCGCGAAGTTTCCCAACGTGCAGGGTCAGGGCAGTTTGTCTTGATCAGCGGCTCCATGGTCTGATTGCTTCGCTCGATCTGGCCGTCCATTTGTGCCGTACTGTGCCCATGTTTCCTTCCAAAACTTTGACATGAACTTCGGATCCTGGTCGCTGATGATCGCTGAAGGGATTTTGTGCAGTCGCACGATCGTTGAGATAAAGGGGCGTGCAATATCTTTGGCTGTGGGTTGTTGTACGACATGGTTCGAAGTGCACCATTTTCATGAGACGATCGACGACAACGAGAATAACGTCGTTACCGAACGGCCCAGCTGGTAGCCCCGTGACGAAATCCATCGTCACTTGTTGCCACGGTCGTTCGGGTGGCTCGAGGGGTTGCAGCAATCTAGCTGGTCGCTGACGTGTCGATTTCATGGTTTGTGACACCCTACATGAGGACGCATATCGCTGCACATCGTTATCAGAATCAGGTTGATAATTTTGACGGTGCAACAACTTCTGGGTTTTATCAACCCCGAAATGTCAGGAAAGGTTAGAATCGTGGACCTCCTGAATAAGGAGTTCACGCAGCAGTTGGTAAGCGGGAACCCAAATCCGATCAATTCCGTTTTTTAGGTAATAATTCCCCTTCTGCGTCGTCGCCTGCTGGTGATTTCCAGTCGTGAAGAACGGGTCCGTAGTGTAGCGTGGGTGGATAGTCCGGTATGTAATGGGTTCGAATGGGTGATGAGCACTGCAGCGGATTCAACTATCGGTTGGGTAAGGGCGCCGGCGATGTTATTCGACCCCTGTCTTATACGTGATGCGGTACCTGAAGTGGCTCTCCATGTAGTCCAGCCACCGAATTTGTCGCGGGTTGAGGTTGGGTCAGCTCACAAGTACTGTAGAGACTTATGGTCCGTGCGAACAGTGACGTCGGCGCCCACCAGGTAACAGCGCCACAATTTGAAAACGTGTATGATGGCGAGCATCTCCTTGTCGTGGATCGGGTAGTTGCGCTCGACTGACTGCAGCTTGCATGACTCGTAGGCTATCAGCTGCAGCTCGTTTCTGAGTTCTTGGAGAAGTACAGCTCCGATGACCAAATTCAAGGCGTAGGTGATGACTTCAAACGGCTTTGATGGGTCGGCGATGCGCAACACCAAAGGGGAAACAAGAAATTTCTTGAGCTCTTGAAAAGACACCTCATATTCTTCTGCCACACAAAATTATTGTCCTTGTGTAGCAAGTCGGTCAATGGGTCGGTTATCCCCGCCATATTCAGGATAAACCGCCCGACGTAATTCACAACCCACAGAAAACTCTGAAGTTCCGTGACATTCGTTGGGGACTTCCACTCAGTCTTTGCCGAGTCAATTTTAATGCCGTGACGTGATATTACATGCCCCAAAAACTCCAACTCCTGCTTATAAAAATCGCACTTAGAACCCTTGGTGATGAGACGATTCTCCTGCAATCGCTTAAACACTGCACGGAGATGCTGTTCCCGTGTCCAAATAGACGATGACGCGACGGTCCAGAAGATCCCAATATACCCTGTTCATAGCCAACTAAAAAGTCGAAGGCGCGCTTGTGAGGCCGAATGGCATCACGTGTTGAGATAAGCGGTAGTCTTAGGAGCCATAGCTAGGAGAGTCCTAGCTAGGCAAGAGAGTTTAGGCGAAAGAGAGGGGTTGCACTAGCAAGAATGGGGATACAAATAGCAAACCCTAGAAGGGTTGTACTCGCTACAGAGCACCCCACTACAGGCTAGAGCATAATATTCTGACACACCCCCATAGCCAAAGTGGGGTGTAATCAGCAGAGCAAGCAAAGCAGTACAAGCTCAGGGTGGATCACAATGTCACCACACATTCTGAGCACAAGTTTAAGAAGCAATAGTTTAAAGTTCACAATTATGAGCAAAGCTAGTGGTAGTCACAACGGGGAAGTGAGGAGGAGGAGAGTAGATAGGAGGCGACGACTGAAGCTGCAGTCACACGGGCAACAGACGGCTCTGGTGCGACACAGTGGCTACCGGGAGTGAGTGCCCCGGAGTACAGGAGTAACAGGCTCCGCGGCTAAGACGAGCAGCAGGAGCAACGGACCCACAGGCGACGGCGCAACCGGCTCTCTGAGCTACCGGGAGTGAGTGCCCCGGAGTACAGGCGCTGCGTACGACACGACGGCAACCTCCCCTCAACCTCCCCCAACAGTCCCACATCCCTCGACACACACCCGCTGCTACACCGCTAGCTCCACTCCCCCTTCACCCCCCCTTAGTACCACTCCGACGGCTCCAACAGGTCCACCCCCCTCAGCGGCAGCTGCAGCACAGGGAGACGGAGGAGGAGGAGCAGGGAACGGCACACAGAAGCTGCACCCCCATACCCCCCAACCCCAAACCCTAATCCAGGAGAACGGGCAGAAGGAGGGGTGGGGCGCCTTCAGAAGCACGGGGGACAGCGGGGAGGACAGGGGCAGCGAAGAACGGGGCGCCCACGGGCCTGGCACAGCCTCCCGAACCGCGCGCAGGCGGTCCGAGCCGCGCGCGGGACTGGCGCAGCCCGTACGGGCCGCGCGCGTGCCTGGCGCAGCCCGTACGGGCCGCGCGCGGGCCTGGCGCAGCCCGTACGGGCCGCGCGCGGGCCTGGCGCAGCCCGTACGGGCCGCGCGCCGGGTGTACGGGCCGCGCGCAGGCCTCAACGGGCGACGGGGGGCGACGCGCGGGTCCCCGTCGCCCGTCGCAGCGCCTCCCGGGGGCGACGTGCCGAGTGACGGGGCAGGAACCCGTCGCGCGCCTCGGGGCACACGGCGGGCAGAGAACCGCCGCGCGCCTCGGGGCGCACGGCGGGCAGAAAACCGCCGTGCGCCTCGGGGCGCACGGCGGGCTGAAAACCCTAGTTTCGACGCCGCGCACCACGGGGCGCGCGGCGTATAGGGAGTAGCAGTAGCAGCGGAAGCAGTGAAGTGGGCC